GAGCATAAATGTTATGATTGTATGATTATTAAGGCACGTATTGCATAGTTGGCAATATTAATTATAGAAAACAAGAGTCATACTTTGCAAAGTTGTAAGAGTTGAAAGGTTGTTTTGCTATAATTAAGGGAGAGAATATTATTCTTCATTTCAAATCTAAAGGATTAGGTTGTGGAATGTTAATAAATTTAGTCAAGGGTACATAGTGTGTTCTTAAAATTTCGATTATGATTACGGCATTCCTCTTCACAATTCGAATTTTGAGAACATAGCAAATAAAACATTATGCATCATGTCCCATACGCTTCGAGTATAGGATCGATTGCAAATGATTTAATGTTTGACCATTCTAAGATTTTCCAAATGTCTAGTGCATTTAGAGGGAAAAGGGACTAGAATCGGTTTTGACTAAAATAATTAAACAACTATCAAAGGACAATCCAAAGTTCGACGAGGATTGGTCACTTGTGAGTAGTTGGAAGTATAGTATTGGAAATAATGGAAATGTTTCCATATTGGATGGACAATATCGACATCATTACGAATAGATAAGATTCTATTAAGAAATTAGTTGTCATATGGAAAATATGGAAGCGTGTCCATATTGGGAAGTAAATATTGAAAATCTATGACTAGATTAGAAACCTTTATGCAAAAGGATGTTCAAAGGAATGTACTTTGAGAGAGAGACATCATATCTAAGGGATTGTCTTGTAACAATCTCCGATAGAGGACTTTGTAATATCATTGGCAATAGTCTTTGTGACTTTGGTGCAGTGACATTACGAAAGGATCGTTGCATAAAGTGTTAGAATCTAGCATATTCTATAAGTAGCAAGAATTTGATATTCTTACACTTAAGAAAATGGATTTGGAGTTGTAAAATGAGAATGATTGGAAATGTGTTCAGTTTGTCTATTTCACAAAAGTAAGAACCATAGGTAAACATTGTGTGCATGCTAGGAGCATGGGACAAGTGTAATAATTCAAGTAAGAAGTTGATTACCCGAAACGACAAATAATGAGTAATCGATATGGTGATAAATAAAACGTGTTTTGTTTATACTCAAAGGTTTGAGGCCATATGGGATTAGTATTATTCTTGTGTTTCACTTTGCATGTTTTGACTTCCAGAATAATTGAGTTTATTAAGAATAATCGAATTATTCGAACGGGCCACAGTCGTTCATATGTTGGAAGTAGATATGAATGAAGACTGTCATGAATTGGTGTGTGGATTGTCTAGAAAAGTATTAGACATAAGCAAATGTTTGCTGCAACGTTCATGAGTGCTTATGAATATGATTTGAGCATTGGATTAAACCCACGCTCACTTGGATCACTCCATGAATTGTATTACGAGTGATTAGTGAGACGATAACATCTTATATTCTTGAAACCGAGATGTGTGAGTTGTATCTTGTGAATTGGTTGCACATTGATAATATGTAAACGCACCAGTAACTTGGTGTTATAAAACATATTGTTGTGTGTAATTCGGTGAGTGAGTGCAAGCGAGCATTGTATCAAAGTTTATCCGTTCCTTTTATCCAAAGTAGGATAAAAGCGATATCTTTGGGCCCCTCGATGGTTTAGTGATGACATACGTAAATGCTCGGCCGGGCTAGGGCTAATTTGATTTGTTCAATTAGTCTGTCGTCATAAATCAGAAATCGAGAATAGTACAAAGAGAATGATTAGAAATCATATCTCATACGATATCTAGAATGGAGGAATATATGATCCCTTATCTAAGGACACGCGTATCTGATAGGATCAGAGTTGACAGCGGCTTTGGAAAGCTACGATTGCAGATCAGGATCTGAAGTCATACGCAGAATAGTTGTTAGACTTATCCAAGTGGGAGACTGTTGGATTAGTGTCTAAGTCCATAACTATTTTGGTATGTACTTGACCCGATGGTGCATGGTCCTTTTGGGTTGCCTTCACCAAAGCAACTTGATTGGAGAAATGAATAAAGAGAGAGAGGATAATATGATTTATTAATATGTTATAAGAATAATATATTAAAGGAGAAATCATATTTGTTTAATTAATATTGGTCAATAATTAATTAAGAATTAGTTTTGTGATCAAATGTAATTAATTAAACTAGAGGGGCTGATTTGTAATTATGTGATAGTTACAAAATAAGGTAAGAATTATCTTATATATATGGTGAACGAATTTGAGGTGTAAATCCCTTAGAATTAGAGTATGATAAGGATTCAAGGATTATCTTATTGGTTGCTTAATGGATAATCAACTAGATAAGGATAATGACTGAAACCCTATCTCTACACCTATATAAACACCCCTAGGGCCATGAATTCGTGTATCCCTTCCCAAGAGGTCCTAGATACGAATTCTAACCTCTTACCTCTTCTTTATACCTTCTCCATTTGCTTATGGTGTTTGTGAAGCCATTAGAGGAGTGACACTTGTGACTCTAAGCATTCCAAAGTCAATTCAAGGAGATTTGTGATTGTTATTGCTACATAACAATCAAGGTAACACTATAAACTTATTCTCATGTTAATATGATTATATGTATGCTAGAATTAGGGTTTATAGTCTTGGATTCAGCATGTACAATAGAGAAACCTAGATCCAAGCATTCGGGTTTGTATGAGCACATAGGATGTCTTATGACCAAAACCCATCATGTAGGTCATGCTTGTGCCTTAGAATCTAGGGTGTTAGGAGCCCAAGTTGAGAGATGTGATAAGGGCTTCATTGTCTGTTCTTGTATGATTGGGGCTTGGAAGTTTGAGTCACGGCCAAAAGGCTTGATAGGGTCACTTAAGTCTTATTGGGATCTATGTGCATCTTGTTAAGCTGCAAGTGTTGTTGTTTGTTGGTGGATCCATAGTAATCCCGAGTGTTGTTGTTGGTTAGTGGATTGGGGATAATCCCGAATCTGTTATTGGTTAGTGGATTAGGGGTTAGTCCGAGTGCTTGTTGGTTGGTGGATCGGGGTAAGACTGAATGTTTTTGTTGGTTAGTGGATCGGGGGTGAGCCCGAGTGTTGGCAGTAAATAGCTAAGCAGGGTTGCCGAAGCCGAGTAGGAGCGTGGCCCAGTTTAGTATGTGACCAGTTGGTTTTCATCGTGATGGTGCACTTATGTGCGAGATTAGCATGAGGGAGTTTGGCCGATAAGGTTTTGAGTTGTTCAAATAAGCAGATTTTTGGACATCTTGGTTGATGTGAGGGGTTGCATCTTGAAGTGGAAGCGAGAGCTGATTTCAAGGATGAAATCTAATTTAACTAGGGGAGCATTATAACATCCTGTTCTTATCATTTCTTATTTCAGGATCGTGGTCCAGAAGTCGATTGTGTAAAGGCTTTGGGTCTTAAGGAGGTAATTGTTGGATTAGGTGTCTAAGCCATAACTATAATTGGGATGTACTTGATCCGATGGTAGCATGGTCCTTTTGGGTTGCCTTCACCATATCAATTTGATAGGATGAATTATGGAGAAAGAGGTTGATAAATGGTTTATTAATATATTATAAGAATAATATATTAATTGAGAAATCATATTATTTAATTAGTATTGATTAGAAATTAATTTGGAATTAATTTAGTGATCAAAAGAGACTGATTAAATGTAAGGGGACTGATATTGCAAATCATTGATAGTTGCAAGTTGGGCTGATGGACTCCTAAAGGATGGAGTGCACGAAATCTATAGAAGCACATAAACATTTCGTCCAAGGGGCTTTCTAGAAGGATTCCATGGATTGTTTAGGGCTTAAGCAGAGAATTAGGGTTTCCATCTAAAACCCTAACATCTCAACTATATAAGGAGCCCTTAGCTTAAGGTTTTCGGCCCCTATGCATTCATTGAGAACCCTAGTCGAAATCTTGAAGCTTCCATCACCTCTCTCTTGTTCATCCTTTGCTAAGTGGTGTTTGTGACTACGTTAGAGGTGCAACACTTAAGGCATTAAGATCTTGAAGGTCAAGATCAAGCTACTAACAAGAAATGTATTCTTCTAACCTAAGATGATTATATTTTGTTTTTCTTGTATGCTAGATTATGGTTTTGCTTTTGAATATTAATTTGAATGCATAACTTGAGAAAAACCTAGATCCAAAGCAATTAGGGTTGCATGTGCACATAGAAATATTGTAATGCTCAAAACCCATCAGTGGTATTAGAGCTTAGGGTGTTTTTATGTTATATTTGATCTAATTGTAATCATTCAAAGCTGGAATGAAAATCGGTTTTGCTGACTGACTGCTGAACTTGATGAGTTCTATGATGAAATCGACGAGTCCATGCCCTGACTTGACGAGTTGGTTCGTCTGTTGGCAGATTTTTTGGATTTCAAGCCTATTTTATATAATGATAATTACCATAAACTATTTTAACTATTTAAAATCGAACTTTTTAGATATGGTAATGAATATTCTCATCTAATTAAAGGATAATGGTCAAATTTTAAGATAATGTTCAAAATTATATGAGTAGTTTAATTATTTAAAATTTGATCTAGAAAGCTTTGAAGAGTCTCAAAATTTTCCCTCAACTTTTGGAATTTAAAATTTAATTAAAAGCTTAATTTTAAAATATTAAATTCTAAAACCCTAGTATTTTAAAAGTTTAAAATACAACACTTATACTATTATAATATATGTATATGTATATATATATATATATATATATATATATATATATATAATATATATATATATATATATATATATAAGGAAACGACCTATAAAATGACCGCCATTAGGTATCCACTCTTACCTACCGCACTATTGACTAGTGGAGGGTCGTTAGCCAAACGAGTAGGATAGGACATTAATTCCTCATTAATAAGTATAATGAAAGTTATAAAGTAACTAAATATTTTTATAAATTCACAATCTTAGTTACTTTAGGAAAAATGTGAAAATGATGTTAGTTCATGAAATTTCACTTTGCACCTTGCTAAGTAGTTAATGGAGCATGTGTGGTTAACCGGCACACTAACTTGGACTAACAAGTATGGCAATTGTAACACCCACAAATTCGGGTTAGTCAATTTACACACAATAAGCGTCAAAAATGACTTTGTAATAA